ATATTCCTCTGGTAGGACAAATTCTGGATAAACTTGGGAAACTGTGACCCCTGGTTTAGATCATGGAAGGACGTGGCAAACATAGAACGGCTACAACGCATGAGCAAGGAGCTCTGAGATGTGATCCCCCAGTGTTGCACAAGAACTGAGCCACCCGGAAGAGCTCAAGACAATTTAGTACGGTCTTGACTGTGTGAATTTCGCTAATCTCGGAACCATGCAATTCAGTAAGGTTAATCTTAACCTTGCAACGCCCACTTAGTGGTGCATCTGATAAGAATATATCGGGGAGCCACAGAATGGCTATGAGAAGATAATCAGTTTTCGGACATCTGGCGTATCGAGTGAACTAACAGAAACGTGAGACTGGCTGACAAGATAACCGATGGTTATTCAGTATTGTAAGAGTTACTACTCAGCGTTCAGATGCATGGAAACATCACAAACGGGAGATTCAGCTGGGTTCCAAGTGTGTCTCTCGCAAAACCAAATCTGTTTGCAAATGAGTGTATTTCGATAATTTCGTGCAATTTGGTTTCAAGTAAAACATAAGGTTGACGGAAACTCGGGGACTGTGCCTACCTGATGAGCCTCAAGTTGGGCGAAACCGTTCGTGGGCTGTCGAAGAATTTTCAGAAACTTTATGAATAGTGCATTCGTGACTTCCATTTTTAGCGGAGATTCTTTACCTAATTGCTAACACGCAAACCGTCCCAAACAGAGGAACAGCGAGGAGTCTACATCCATTGTGCAGCAAAGCAATCTCCGTGTAAACTGTAACTTTTGCTCACCTGCACCAGAGGAACAGCGAGGAGTCTACATCCAATGTGCAGCAAAGCAATCTTCGTGTAAACTGTAACTTTTGCTCACCTGCATCGCTGAGAGGATCCTAAGATGAACCAGCCCATCAGGAAACTCACTCAAACCAATAGAAGCCAGACAGTGGATATCATCAATTAGCTACTGTGGCTGCTAATGAATGCTGGTGATATTAGTTCACGAGGAGATAGCCGAGCTTTAATCAAGATTTTATTATTAAGTCCATTCAATTGATCATGCAGTGCCGGAAACCCAGCAGTGGGGTTTAAATTTTTTGAGAATCGTAAGCAGTGCGCATCTTGGAGGAATCTAACTTATTGCCTCCTCCTTAACAACTGAAAGTTGTATCATTTAGCTGTTCATTAGTGTGGTTAACCTGTACTTAACCAGGACCTAACGCCATTCTTCGTCCATACGATTAATTTCACTTTGTCTAACGTGGACCGGCTCGCTTGGTAACTGTGTCTCAGAGGGAACGCCTACAACAGCGAAGATTTTGTGCAGAGTTCGACAGTCAAAATGACTGTGACAAACATAGATGACCTTTTAATAAATGCAGTTTTTTGCACTGCGCTGCAAGGCCAAGGACCTAACAGAAAAAAGGGAAATTTAACAGAATTGTGTGAATATTTACTCTCCCCCAGTCTATCTTGACCAGCAACGAACCAGTGTTCTAGTTCTTCATGGCTAGACTATCCTTTAACTTCAGGTTGGTGTCGTCCCAAATCCAAGGACGGAACAACACACACCACCTTCCAGGTCTTGCAACATTCATAATCGTGTTCAGCAGCAAAAAAGTAAATGTGATTCAACGACATACACTGTACCGAGGATCACTGGTAATAACCTATCTCTTTGTACCTACATCCCTCCGGCTAGTTAGTAGACCACTACCTTCCAAGAGAAAACACCCCCGATAAGGAAGCAGCAGTTAATGAGAGATACTTCTTTACACAGCCGTCTTTCTAGATCAAAGAATTTCTCAGGACTAGAAAACTCTACTTCTCGTACTTCAACTGGCTGCCTTATTACTCCTCAAGAGAAAACAGTACAAAGCAAAGGTCCCAATTACTCGTTGACTCTCCTTTAAAAAGAGCTTGTTATAGGCACAGCTGATGCACCGCTAAAGCGGTGGTCTTTGATCAGTCCAGAACTGACCTAGTACAAAGTCATCGATTCAAGTAGTTTGCAATTGAAACACGGGTTAAAGCTATTACACTTAAATGGTTGGATAGAACAACGTGCCCCGAGTCAACATTTGTCAAGTTTCTGATCATCAAAGTTGCCTTAGTTGCTGCATGGGAACACCAATTCGTGGTAAGTTGTCGTGTTGGGTAGCCAAGTGCAAAAGCAACATTGCCTATTGATTTGTATGAAAAAGCCGGATGATCATAGTACAGGTTTACCAGGTCGTGCTAGTTCTCATGGATTGCAGATGTGCCTGAGTACTGACTATTCACTTCGGACGGGTTGGAATCTTCCACTCCACACTTCATGAAGCCGTTTGGAAACCTGGTCTCATTATCCTAGTATGCAGCGCGGTTCTTAGTGGTCACTGTCTTACGCAAATCACCCCTCCTTACGGGAATCGCCCTCAAATTCCGTGAAGATGTTTCCCTTAGAGATGAAATTGTATTAATGGATTCCTAAAGAAGCACCAACTTGGAGAACTAAAGATATGTGTATTGAGAAAAGTGTTTAATCAGTATCAAAAGTAGCACCAAAAGTGTAACGATGCAGGTGCAAGGGCTCAACAAATTATTTCTGGTCTCAAAAGTGAGATTGGAACCTACATCGCGACGGGCCTTTCCAAACATCAATGGTGTTTTGCAATAAAGTATACCATTTGTATTATGGTGAATATCATAGCTGAACCTTGCGACTCCACCATGAAAAGTAATTCACAGCCTTTACAGAGAGTCTGTTTAAAATCCTCTCTGCCAAAAGCACCCTTGGCTTTCATATGAGCGACAGACATAAAATGTTAGCAGAACTCCTTTGGGTTTAAGAAGAGCCATACTTTAGCAACAAGATTAATCGATAAATATGATGGGAAAAACGAGAAGCAAAAACCAACATCACAGCTATGGTCCTTCCAACTCATAGGTAGCTCCGTAAAACTGAGAGACAACGATTTTTTCATAGGTTTCACTTTTGTTCAGCGTCAATAGTGTCAGTTCCTCTTTCTTGGCATTTTTGGTTTTGTGGGGCAAAAATCAGACAAACCATCTTAATATTTGAGTGCTGATTTCGCTAAATGACGTTAGCTGAGTCCAGCGGCGAACTAGTGATCAATCACGTTGTTTGGGGTTGTCTGTATAAATACAAGTCAGCTCATGCCGCTTCATCAAGTGAGTACGATGACAGGAATTTGAAACCTAATACCACTCGTTAGTTGGTCACCTAGCTTCTCAGTAAGTGTAATTCAGTGTTGGTTCTATGTTCCCAGCTCTATTATTGACGATTTTTTTCCAACGCGGAACATTAATTTGGCAAAAAGATTAAGCCCTGTAAATTTTGTCTTCAAAGATTCTTTCAGGAAAATATTGCCTACAAGGAGACTGCTTTACCTTGCAAACATTACTGAGTCTTGGAAATCATAATTTAATCCAGTTTTTTCTTAGTAGGTGGCTTCAACAAAGAGACCGTTTCATTCGTTATACAATTAGACGTCAGCTAGAAATATAAAGTTTTTCTAGAACGTCGGAAATCATTCATCCATGACAACATGCCCATGTGACACAATAGACGTAATCCTTTTCTACGGTTTTTTTTCGCAGCCTTATCACCGAAATGCGGACACCCGGTGTCCAATCCGTCATCACAGCTCTACAGTATGCCAATTCAAGAGTTATCAAGTACTGGCGCGAGCTTGTAAGTTTGTCCAATGAGGCATTAACTACCAAGTTAAAACGCACCAACTGATAACTAAAAGGTAACATATTTCTCGTTGATGTTCATTAACACTAGAATGCACAATGCGCCACAACCGATTTTCTGAAAAAAAATGATTACAACACGAAAACACTCGAACATATCGAACTAGGACAGATTATTTTTAGAAGCGCATGTAGAGCTTAGTCAGCTGATTTTTAAAAGTGTTGTGGGCTACATGAAAGTTACGTACAATTTCTGTTAGGTCAGAGGAAACTAATGTGTAGAGCATTGTGAGGTTCGTCGAACCACAATCGGTGAAGACAATTTTGGTACAATTATAGTCAGTTAATATGAGCTCCAGTAGTTACCAGTTTTATTTTCGAATAAGTTAAAGTGCCTAGCAACCTGTGGTGAAAACGATTGCATAAGACATGAACTCCTTACCGTCCAGTTAGATAGAAAATCCCACGAGGATTCGGAAGTGCCAGTGGATACCCCGGGCCTAAAGTGCCTTCTCAGAGATTGAGCCAAGTACCGTTATTTTATCGTCATCCAAGGGGAATGCTTCTGGATTTGATGGACGGATGCAGCAGAGTTAACAATATCATTCCATATAAAAATCAAGATAACTCCCAAGGTAGATAAATATAACTCATCAAAATGATTAGCAGTTCTGGCTTTGAATGGATGGCGTGTCAATTTGCAGTGCCCCGCGTGCAGTCTCAAGCTTGTTTTGTAAAACATTTCGATGGAGAACTCAGCTGAGTCTCCGATTAGAAATAAATTAGTGTGCAAATGAGTGTAGTTGACAGATTACGTCCAATGTGGGTTCAAGTAAAACAGAACATTTTGACGGAAACTTTGGAAATGCACCCAACTGATGAGCCTTCAAGAATGACGAAAAATGTCGAGGAGTTTTCAGCAACTTCATAAGTAGCGTCTTCTCCCCAGCCTATGAAAACATGTGTCCTGCAAATGCTCGCTTCAACAAACAACAAGAACAACCTCACGAAAGCACATGTTCTGTTCTCAAACCCTGTTAGAAGTTTACGAGATTTCAACCGGCTTCTGTTTTAGTGTTGATCTGCATGAAATCAAATTTACCTCCTTCATAGTGTACGTGCTGATGTATATTGTAATGAGTAACTGGAACACCCCATAACATATTTAGTCCTCATAAAATAGTTGTTTCCTATGCTTTGTCCATAGGATGATCGTATAACAACTGCAGTCAATGAAGCTAAAGACAACGTGAAATATCTATCCACATTGGACAACTTTTTCGGGACATTTTCAATGGCAAATCCTGTGAGTCATGGTGCCTTGTACGTATTGATGCATAGTTGGAATCCGGTTCAATATTCCCGTTGCTAGCCAAATGCAATCTTTTGCGAGTAATAGACTGTCCTGAAGGAACTGTTTTCGGATCAGGGAACTTGTGTCAGACTCCATACGATATCATTAGAATTATTGTTTTAAATGTTACGGTGTTGCACTGATGATGCAGAGGTTGAATGGGATAAAGTATTCATAGTTATGTGAAAAACTGATAACGGAAGATGCTTAAACAAAGATAAACCCATTCGTCCAACGGAGTCCTGTAGATAAGTATTCCTACATAAATATCAGTGTGGGATCATACGACATGTACCGAGCAGTCAACACTAATTTCCATCGATATATTTCTTTTCAGTTCACTCACCAAATACTACCCCTTAAAAAGGTTGTTCCTGAGCGAAAACTGGCATTGTTCACGATATCGGAAAATTGGTTCAAGTGCTTTGTCCGCTACTCAAATTGCCACGTAATCCCATTAAGTGAGGATGAGCGATCAGCTCTTCAATGCTCGCGAATAACGTCACAAAATACATATAATAGACCTCTATCACATTTCGCTATAACTAGTCTGTGTATTTCGTACTGTTATCTAACAAGAATGAGATGTCACAATGCTTCCTCATGTCTTATGCCGAAGTGCGCAATAATTATCACAATAGAACGCTATATTCACTGGTGGAACCCAGGTTTCCAATCGAAGTTTGACTCTGTGACTTGAAAAAAACAAGCGCGCAATCATAGGTGTATGCATTCTAGCTTTTTGTCACGTCATGCTGTTATGAAATCTTAACTGAGCCTTGTTTAAAGCGCACTTCCTATGTTTCACCCTGTCTCATGGCAGTGGAAAGTTCAGCCTGATCGAACCAACTTAAGTGACACAGGAAGTCATTAATATGACTCAAATCCGAATGCAATATGCACTGTTTTTTCCTAGTTAAGAAGCTTCAAAATGTTTTGGATTCAAAGCCATACGATGGACCTAATTCGGGAACCATTCTCACTATTTTATGAGGTAGTTCAAAAGAGCCACAAATCATTGTCAACCCTGATTGGCATAAGAAAAGGCGTTACTCTCTACAGACCACATCTTTTTTCTTTGATGCCTCTCATCGCACTACAGGGGAAGTTAGGAATTAGGAGTTTGACTTTGCAAACTGTCAGTTTACTCGTATAGTATACAAGAATTGAGTCCACCCAACTTGCCACTTTCCGGGAGAGTTGCTAGCAGCCAGTACATCAATCAAAATATGGTTGTCTGTGGTCATTCAGCAGTCAACCTAGATTCTAAAATCACAGTGGTTACTCACTGTTTTTCGGAACTTCCTTCGGCTTTGTTGTGCGCCACCTGAACGTTTCTGCAAGCAGTAGTTTTCAGGTTGATGTACTCTTATCTCATTTGAATTTTTGGTGTTCTCGGACTAAGAGTGAAAAAATTATGCTTAAAAAAGAGCGATCACTAATTTTTAAGAGAGCTCTGCATCCAATTCATCACTTGGAACACCTCGTGGATAGTTTCCGCAGAGGGATTCTAGCGATGAGGAACAGCTATACCGTCAGTACACTCCAGAGACCGAACCGAAATTGGTTGGACTTTATTACCCTGATGCATATCGGTGAATAAGCCTGATAATATGTTTGAAATCAAATTTTTGCATTGCAATCTGGCTAACCAATATTGAATACCCCGGAGGCTGCATGTGGACGTCTCTAATATGTATTACTCTGAAAGTATTTTTTGCGGCAATGTCACTTGTCTTGATTTGTGTAGTCTCTCCGACTTTCAGGTGAAACTTATGGAAGAACTTCCAATTCTGTTGAACGCTATCCGTATGATATACAGTATCTCACACTACTACAATTCGTCCGAACGTGTAACCTCCCTCTTCATCAAGGTGACCAATCAGATGATCATTGCCTGCCGACGGTACATTACCGAGGGCGTGAAGCGGATCTGGGATTTGCCAAAGTCAGTTACCGGTGTGCTGTAGATAGCGTCGCTTGAAGCCGTCTTAATAATTGAAGCATGTGGATATGAATAATACGATATTTATGGTTTATGTAATACAGTTTACTAAAACTTATCCTTATAGTGGAACAGCCTAAATCTAGTTTATTATGCATGTAGCAAGAAAAACTGAAATGATTCCAGGTCAAACCTCACCACAGATTGGTGAGGTTTGGGGACCTTATCAGAGTAAACCATTAGAGGTATCCGAAATAAAACAGCGACTCAGATAAGACGGAGATAAATCGGAGACTTACGAATGATCAAGAATGTTTTTACAAACAGTGACAATTTTGGTCTCAGTGGAGGAACTAATATTATGTTCGCCACAATGGGGACCGATATAGACTCGCACTGTTCACGCTACGGAAAAAAGCGTAAGGCCCTTGCACGCTCGTAAAGTGCAACCCAAACACCCATGGCTCTTGAATTCTTGAAGGATTTGAAAAGTGCGTCGAGTTGAATGATTGACTCAGTATGGATAATTTAAGTACTGGCAGGATAGACTGGATTGACCACCAGTGCGATCGTTATTCGCCTTCATTTGTTGTTTTTTATCGAGTCCTGTCTCTCGAATCGGTATGATGTGTTATTGAACTAACTCGAAATGACCCTGGTTAGTCTTATCGTCCCACTTCTCAGAGAGAAATCTCCATTCTTGCTTATCTGCAACTGTGTCAAGTGTTCACGAATGAAGAAGTAGGGAACTGTGAAAAAAGTTGGAAAGGTTTCCCTAATATCAGAGTAACTATTAGATCTGCCGTGTGAAACTGAAAAGGAATCCTGGAAGACGTTTTGCATTTCGTCAGTGTATAATGATCCACATTTATCTCAAAGTGTTGCTCTCCTTAATAATTATCCTTTGGGAGTTTACTGGTCGAATCCAGGATCAGCGGTAGGAATCCGGAGTTCATTTTATCCATTCTATATACATATACAAAATGACCGGGATTGAACACAATTTTCAGTTATAGGCGGTTGCGGGATTTGCAAATTGCTTATTTGAGCAACCCTATCGCAGTTATTCCGATGAGTCTAGACAAACGGTAGAACCAATGAACTCGAGTTTTGCTCTTATTAGAGCTCGTCAGCAATGTTCATCTTTGGCCGTGCCAGGGGCATCTGACATGCGAGGCAAGCGTGTTTCCACCACTCCACGCAGGGTGCATCTGAAGTGTCATGTCTGAGCAGGAGATTTTGTTCAAACTTAAGCTATGTGACTGGTACGCCCGACACCTAGAACGGCGATCTAGTAACTCTCACGGTTGTGTCGGTCTAATGACCCGCCTGTCAGGTCTCTCCAGTCAGGTAGCACCACGGACAACTGAAACCTGCTGGAAAGCTTTGAATAGCTGTAGATGTTTGGGGCTGAGACCCCCGTCCTGCTGGTTCAAAGTACACAGACAAGAAGTGTGTACAGGCACAAAAAATTCACCGGTACGTAGACCGAAACACACAAAGGGAGGTTTGAACTATCAGAAACAGGTATCGCAAGTGAACTTGTCAATAAAGAGAACCAGAGAACCGGTAATATTTTTTCCAGTATGATGCAGTCAATTTCGGGAATCCAGCTTTGTCTCTTGTGCTGAAAAATGAAGATTGTACTTAGTGCTAGTCTACTACAGTCACTCCGAGGTGTCTACACATCCAAACGCTCATTTAGGCAATTTAGATATAAAAAATGACAGCATGAACGCTATGGACATCTTACAGCGTCTTCAACCAGGGGCATTGGGATCTCATGATCCTGATCCTGGAGGGCGAGTCACAGGGACAGCACCCAGAATTTTCGTAATCTCCTTCGTATCCGTCTGCTATGTCAAAAGTTGCCCACCCTTCTGCTTCCGCCACTCTGAACTGAGCACGAAAAGTATCACTCTGTTCGTCAAACCTTGTTTCAATATGCGTAATATGTGACCTAACCAACGAAACTTCTGGTACTGGACACACCCTTCAATGGAAGCCCCACCGCACAACCAAAAATTCCCTTTCTAATTGCCTCGTCACGAATTCATCGACACCAATCCACAATGAATGTGGTACCGAGACAACGGTCGTTAAAAATGTAAAGATGACTCATAAACGTCATAACAAAGGGGGGATACAGCTGGGTTCCAGATGAGTCTCTCACAAAACCAAATATCTTCACAAATGGGTGTATTTAGCTAAAGATGTCTCAGTCCCGCTGATCGAACAGGCCAAGCTTCACAACCGTACAACAAAACAGCCCATGCTGTAGCCTGATACACACGTCCCTTGAGATTCAGGAATATACCGCTTTGAAGCCCTAGGTATCTCAAATTAGCAGACACGACTCGAGCCTTGCAAATTCGTGCACTGTCCTCGCCTGTCACCCTATAGTCAGAACCAATACAACTCAGAAAGTGCGTAAAACACTTCACGACTTTGAGTGTCCTTCCCTGGATTGAAAGTGGTATGCTCAGTAACTGTGCGTCCAGGAGCATGATCTTACAGTTTATGGGTTCAAAGGACGGAATGACTTTAGTCAGCTCATTCAAAAACACCCGTGACTTTTGTTCGAGGACGATGTCGTCCGCATATTCCAGATCGACAAGGTTTGCTTCAAAGGCTACTTGAACACGGGTTTTGAAAATCTTCCAGCGTTCGTCTCAGTAACTCATCGATCACGAAATTAGGTAGGAATGGAGAGAGTGAGCTCCCTTGACGGACATCAGTTTAGGTGCGGAAACTTCTGCAGAGCTATCCCCGGATCCGTCAGTCCCTCGTTTGCTAAGCAGCTTGTCCGCACTTTACGCGGCCCTGGAAGATGAAGAGAGAAGTGGCCCTGGACAAGTGCGTGGTCAGGATCCACGAATGTGTTCCAAAACGACAGGCAGTCAGTTATTAATCCGCTCCATCGGTAACTGATGTCAATGTGATCGATTGGAGTTTGTGACCGGTACGCCGTTGGAGGACACCATGTGGCCAGACGACTTCGGTTATTTCGAAAGTTAGTACCGCATAAAAACAGCCTGCAATCAGCACACAGCTGGAGGAACCGTTCATCAATGCCCGTACGTACTGAGCCCAATCCATATCGGCCACCTGATTGAGTCTCACACGCTAAGCCTGCCCACTCGTGCATTCAAATTTCCCGCCACCACAAGGATATTCGAGCTTTTAAATCACCGAAACAGACCATTCAGGACGTCATAAAACCTGTTTTTGGTGTCAGAGCTACGGTCAGTTTGGGGCGTAAGCGGACACGACAAACAGGCATCGATCAACTTCCTGCTTGTGGGACTCCTTTAAGACGTAGCCAGACGAAGTACACCGAGGCGACTGTCAATGGGTATCCAGTCAAGTAGGGATCCTTCCATCCGACGTCTCAGGACGATGCCAAACTCTGCACATCCTGCCGTAGCAGCCTCTGGCTCACCAGGGGTGCACAGCAGGAAGCGGGTGAAGGGTGATTGGGCGGTTAGCTCAACCACTGTGCTTGCATCTTGAATTCTTGTTTCTGATACACAGCACGTATCAATGTCAGGTAAGTCCAGTGTGAGAACAAGAGCACCCTGTTTTCCCGCTTGCTTCAGAGTGCGGAAATTGAAGGCAGCCAGATGGACTGGGTATCGATGCTTGAAGATTGATTTCGAGTTGACTGAGGTTGTCACCGCCGGATAACGTGCATATGCACGATGCAGGAGTCATCCGTTCGAAATGAATTGCGTACAGTGAGAGAGTTATTGATGAGGTTGGGAGAGAGGAAAGAAAAAGTATGTCAAAGAGAAAGAAGGGAGGCGAAAGAAAAAGTCAAAGAGAAAGAAGGGAGGCTTCAGCAGTAGCCTGATTTCGCCTATATGCCCTGTAGTATGCAGCAAGTAATGCAACCAACCCGATGATAACACGTGATGGCCGATGTGACGAAACTATTTTTGGTAGTAAGTGTCATGGATGCACGTGGGTTGGAACCTTACCATGGCACTCATACCTGGACAGAAGGACGATTAGAGTCCTCGACTTAAGCCTTTGGCTCAAAAAACTGACCTCAAGACAGTGTTGTTTGCCAGGAAAAGCAGGTGCATTGCCACTCTTATAGAACAAGTTGCCACACAAGTTATAACCCCAAAATCTTGAGAGCCAGTA